CCCCCTCGACCCCACCTACCCCTCCATAATCAGCAAAATGTAACCGCGCAAATCAAACCTATACACCTCCGCACACACTTTCAGATCGTATTCACTCGGGATATTGTCTTTGTTATTTACTCAACGTCATGTACTATCAGTGGTTGGTACTAAGTATACACAAGGGCAATCTCTCTCTCTTGTCACGCTGTGTTACACCTGTCGACGCCTGTCGATATATTTTTCCCCCTCGACCCAGACTCTAAAATCCAATCGGACGTCACTGGGGATTTTTTTCTATCCCCCCCCCTCCAGCCCCTACAATCTCCAACATCCCCCTCACCTTCAGGTCGCTCTCCTCCAAGCCAATAACAATTTATGATGTACTCAATGGGTGGTTAAATGTTCCATCACCCAGAGAGAAATCAAAAAAGAAGAAATAAAAAGGAAAAACAGAAATGTGGAAAATTGACGAGAAAAATGAGTGAAAAAAAATGGAATGTTGTTTCATCTATTCGGGGAGAGAGATTAATTTTGAGTTTGATAATTGATTGCTTTTTAATCAACTTGGAATTACGTTATCGGTGGAGGAGTGGGAGGGGGTGGATGAGAGATGGCATTACGAATGGAAGCAAACGGGGGATAAATCGAGCGAACGGGGGATAAAGTGGAGATCGACAGGATAATAATAAAAAGCTAAATGGGAATGCGATGAGTGATAAACTCGGTAAAAAAGACAAGAAGATCTATCAAAGAGTTGCCCGCGGGTGCGGCGTAAGTGGGTTTACTTTTCAAAATGGCGTACCTCACCTAAAAGAATCGATTTCAAACTTTTCAATTCATCCACGGGGCTCTCATCACCAGAGATAAATGGTGCCTTGTGTGTCGGATAAAAGGTGGAAATAACTAGGCAATGGGTAAAATCAACTCTAGTCTTTTGTATTCAGTTGGCGTGAGATCAAACGGCTCCAAGAGGGACACGATTCCACGATATCGTTTCCTCTTTCCCTCTTTATCCACCCCTCATTCACCCGGCGCTCAAGTGCCCCTTCAAAAGAATCGAAAAGAAAAGGAACACGTCTCTCTCCGCCGACGGAACCTGTTGCAGGTACTCCTTGATTCTCCCGCGAATGTCGAAACTCCACAAGTATCAATTCCACCAGCAACATAAACTTCAAATACGTCGATCATTAACAGACCCATCCCCTCATTCAATTACACCCCACAATCTCAATTCCCCAATCCTCCCCCGACATATCCAAAAAAAAAAAAAACAACAGCACTAATTCATCCCCTCCACCAAAATGCACAAAAATCGAGTCACGACATCCAAGTGCAACGACATCTCCTCGGGGAAAAAAAAATTCCGCGTTAAAAAAATTCCTCTTTTCCAAAAGTGCATGGTTTTTGAGAAAAAAAAAATTGAGGAGTTCATTGGAAGGTTAATTTTGGGAGTAGACCTACGTACTACTGAGAAAAAAATAACCAATATTTCGTGCATGTCATGAAAGATTATCTAGTCAAGATAAATAACTCGAGTGTAATGACCAATACAGGTGTACGTGTAAACACATGCCCAAAAAAGTGATAACAAAAAGATTATTCAACCGACTGTTGTGTTTCTCCCTCGTTTATTTTTTTCGGTGTAATATTTAGTTTTGAGAATACGGATTGGTAGACTCGTGTATGGTGGGCTCACCTGGGGTAGAATCATGACGTGCGGCAGCTGGCGCGCCTCGCCGCGCACTGACTGGCCGCACTCCGCACCCCGAACATCCTATTCTCCCTCCGATCCCTCGCCCCTCTGAGAACCGCGCACGCCGGATAGAACGTGCCAACCTATGTACCCCCCTCTCTATATCCCCCCCCTTCTCCCGCTTTTCACCCCCCTCCCCCATTTACCCCCATTTCCCTTATCCCCCTCCCGTTCTCCTGTTCACCCCAGCCGTTCCCTCTTGCTCCTTCATACCGCGGATAGAATCTCAACAACGGGATTGGTGATAAACCACCCCCTTACCACCCCCCCCACCCACTGACACCCACCGACACCCCAATTCCCCTCTGGGTTGTACATCTCCAAGCCCTTTGCCACATATCCCAACACTCCGTCAAGTGACATTCAAATGGAGGCCTGGGGTCGGTCACTGGGACGAGATGGATTCGTCATTCGTAATTCTGGGGTTCCCCGAAATCGCTGTCTCTGGTGGTGAGAAAAAAATTTCGAGTGATTATGTGGGTTATTCGTATTTGGGAACTCTGAAGAGGAGTTCAAGAGAGGAGGGAACACCAGGTACTTCGGGAGTGTTGGGAATTCGGGAAACTCCAGCAACTTCAGGAACTCCAGGAACTGCGGGAACTCCAAGAACTCCAGGGACTCCAGGAACTCCAGGGACTCCAGGGACTCCATGAACTCCAGGGACTCCATGAACTCCATGAACTCCAGGGACTCCAGGGACTCCATGAACTCCAGGGACTCCAGGGACTCCATGAACTCCAGGAAATCGATTATCCTACAATGGAGAACAGTTAGGGCAGAGAGAATAATAAAATATGCTGATTTTGAATTCCTCGGAAAAAAGTAGTAATTGTTTTTATGAGTGCTTCCACCAGGAGATACTCTTTTCACCTGCACCATGAAGTATTTTCCAACCCGGGGGATTATAATCTGTGACTTTGGGGATTATGAATACCGTATCAGTACGTGTACGTATTTTCCGGGGAATGGAATTTTGTAATCCGAGCCGAAGGCGCTGATTATAATCAGGAGATGAAGAAGAGTCCTTGCCGGTGGAATATGGAAATAGTGTTGCACGGTATAATCGAAGAGAGATCACAATAAATACAATAAATTCTCACCATGCAGAATATAATTTTTTCCTCAAATCTGTCCCCAATTTCGTTATCCACATGCGAAGCTCAATCCAGATTAGTCAGAATTACTAGCACACTATCTGCGATTGGTGGAATTCAAACCGATTTCACTCCGGATGTTACGTTCCCTCAATGGCGCGCGCATGCAAAAAATTCGGGGTAAAACAAAGAGATATTTTCACGGTGAATTTCCATTCGATATATCGAATCGAGAAAAGGCATTGTGAATGTGACATTAAGAAATAGGACAAAACGATCAGGGAGTGCATTAAAAAACTGTCCAGTGACATTAAAAAAAAATCGTGCGGGGAATCCCCTGAGTATTTCAGAGCGATGACACTTGCTCTCCCACTCATAAATTGGTACATCAACAGAGCAAATTGGCTAACACGAACGCAGAGAATTGGAAAGGGAAAGAGGGGCCCTGAGAGGGGGGTTGAAGGGGGTTAAGGGGTGAACGATGGGTGTACGAGTGAGGAAGGGTGAGGAGGGGGATGAAAAGGGAGGTGTTGGAGTGAGAAGGTGAAATGTGAGAGAGGAAATCCCAGCATAATCCATGAGAATTGACGAGAACGCTTCTGGTGTCATTAATGAAATAATCGAGTAATTTCCTGTTCACATTGGCCTCTTGTACAGAGTCGACATACTAGTGATTATTATGGCTAGGGTACTGCGAAGGGCGGGGAGGGTAAGTGGCGAGGGGGCGAGGGGGTGGTGAGGGGGCGGTGAGGGGATGGTGAAGGGAATAGAGGGGTAAAATCTCACCACACACTTGGTCGTCTGTGAGCATCGGAGCGTGTGATTCACAGTGACGCTGGGGATAGTTTAACCGTTTAATGAGATGAGGAAAAGATCGTTTTCTCTTTCACCCCTCCTTTCCCCCCCCCCTTTTTTCCCCCCTTCTTTCCAACCCCTGACGGAGATTTAACCCCCTCGTTTTATACGTGAGCAGCGATTCACTGGTTCTCCGTGATTTATTCGAGATTTGTTATTTTTCTCGGGTCCAATCGTCGGTATTTATTATGAATGGGGGAAAACTCGTAGTTTTTCCAGGTTGCCGGGGGGAAAAGTCGGGCTGATCGCTGGGAATTGATGGCGAAAAAGAGAAATTTGTAGAATGTTTATGCAATTCGTGGATTGTTTGGATTCGTTGAATCTCGTTGGGGTATTGAATTAATTTATCGGTGCGTAGAATCCCGCATGACTAGTTGTTCATCTGCTTTTGGTGGTTATTATTGAAATTTAATTGTCATAAAAATAACAGGCCCGTGATAATATTTGTGAGGGTATTGATTTTTTATTAATAGGTACATGGATTTTTGGAGAGAGACCTCATTTTATTCGTCGTCTCATTTGTTGTCTCGTGATTAGGTGGTGGGGGAGAACTATTCGCTGAATTTTTATTTGACATTTAGGCGGAATGAACTATCGGATTTTTTTCTTTCAATCTCGTAAATTCCAGGGAATTCTGAAATTTTACGTTTTTTCTGGAAAATTAACAACAAATTGATATTTCCGACGCATCCTGTGTGCTCGTGCCAAATCGTTCAGAAAATATGAAATTCCTGTGTAATTTCAAGACCTTTGAACTGCTCGACCAATGGAAACTGCAATTTTCTAGAAATTTCACTCTAATATCACAAAGTTGCGCGAAAGCTCCAGTTCCGTGGAAGAATTCAGTATAAATGTGTAATGAACAATTTAAAAATTCACGTTCACTCTGAAGCTCGCAGTTTCTGGATTGTCATTCAGAAATTCTCACGAAAGAACGGATTGCTTCAATTCGCCTCAGATTTCTCATATATTAACACTCGGTTATTTAAAAAATATTACATTTCTATTAATTAATTACATTACACCTAGCTCATATCTATAAAATCTCTTCTATCTCCTGAATAAACATTTTAAATATTGATTAAAAATTACAGAACCTGAGGTGTTCCACGGATTACGGAAGTAATTAAAAGAATCCAAGTGGCGTAGTCGTAATTTCCTCCAAAAAATTGATACAAAAATGGCGGAAGGCCCCGAAAAAATTCCCTTAATGCCACTTCACTAAAAAATTAATTGAAAATCTGTCTGATGGATGATTTAATAACACCTGTAATTTTTATTAACAAGTTCTCTCACGTATTTATAACAATTAATCGCAATACAGAGTTACATAACAGAGGAGTTTAGGTGGGCCACTTGTAGTTTCCTCAAATTGAGTAAAGTTGGGGTACGGTCAGTAAGTGGATACAGGTGGTGAGAGATAGACAGAAAGGGGATGGGTTAGAGCTGTGTACGCTAGAGTCGAAAATGAGGATAGCAATTACGAAGTAAATCCCTAGGGGATTATGAAGCGTATGAATACCAGTGGATGTTCATAATCCGTCAGAATGAACAAGGGAAGAAAAACTGAACATTCCAGGTTCACTGAAAAATTCAAGTACCAAGAAATCCTTTGACGTTATTATTTCGAGAAAATGATGTCAGAATCAAAGGTGAATAAACACACCCAGAGGATTGACTGACGGAGTGAAAAGTGTCTGCATAATGAACTATTCCTTATATCCATACATACAACCCCCTACCCCCCAAACTGGGTCAACTTACGTCGAAGTACACAAGTGGGTGGTAAGGAGAACCTCATGAACGCCGGAAGGATGCACCAAACTCAGATGTGTTGAATTACGGAGAAGTGGTGGTGAAGGGGCGCGAAGGGGATGATGAGGTGGTTGTCAGTCGGTGAATACAGAGTGAAATAGTTATGAGACTGGTGGTTGGCTCGTCTTACTCTGTCATCGCATTGACATATGTTGCCCTCTTCCCAGGAGTTGACACTGTCAGGTATTTCGTATCAGACCTAGAACGCAATAAAGAAAGCAATGAGCACAGCTCGCAGGTGCGTCTACCGATGTTTCCAAAGCAAGCATTCATCCATTATTGATATACTTAGTCGCTTGTGTGTACCACAATATATATATACCCAGCAAATGGTGTACATAATATACTGACAGGTATATAAATTACACAGGGAAATGTTGGTTTCTATAGATATATAAACAGTGTTAAGTGAGAGGAGGAGGAATGGGGGGGAGGGGGAGGGGGAGGAGAGGGTTGTGAGGTGGCTGTTCTCGGGGAAGCTCGGCCAATACCGGAGACGGATAATCGTATTTGTCAAGCCCCGAGTGGTTTGCGCTCGTGTGGGAACTCGTTCACCAGGAGAATCGGAGAGACAGGGACAATTGGCCTATACTCCCTCTCCTTCAAATACCTGGTGAAAAGTGGATGAGAGTGTGGGGGAGGGAGAGGGATATCAGGAGATGATATGGGTGATGGTATACGGTGAGACACGCAGGAGCTTCGCGAATTAGTTGGTGGATGTGACTTGCTCATCAACAATCCGTTAAGGGCTATGTCAGAATGAATAGCACCTGACGCAACGCCACCACTACTTAACTTGCATGCTGGGGTATTAAAAAAGTTTTATCAATTTCAACTCACCCTCTATCCCCGCCTGCCAGCCATCAGCTACTCGAGATAAAGTCCCTTTTTCTCCATACATTAAAGCCATTTTAAGGGTGGACTAATGGAATTTTCGTTTCTGTAGGGGTATTATCTTGGTTTACGAGTCACTGTTGCCATGAAGATGTTTTATAGTGGCTACAGGTAGCTCGTTGGGATGAAGAGCTCTTGTCTCAATTATTGACGGGTCAGTGTTACTAGGGCTCGTGCCAACAGCCACTTGATGTTTTTACCTCAAATGTATGGTGTGAGCATCACACACTTTTTACAATGTGCCTCTGGTTGTTGATAGTCCCGGGGTGAGAAGATAAACATTTGGGGCATGACAACCTCTGGAGGAATGCCTGGGGGTTGTTAAAAGGCGGTGAAGATACTGTTGGAAATTGGGGAAATTCGGTTTACTGTCTTACCTTTATTCTCACTCATGCTTTTAGTCGGGGATTCACTGCTGGGTAAAAGTGATTAAAGTAAACTCCACGGGGAGATCGTTATCGTGGAAATTCTCTGGCAACTTTGCGCGAGATATGAAATTGAGGATTCGTAATTGCGCATTGTTAAGGATCATTACGATTTCATAATCACGAGAGTCAAGAGTTTGAATTGAGAATATTGTGGGAGATCTTGATGTGGCGATTATTTTAGAACAAGCTACATCTTTTCCATCTCGTTGCATATTTAACTTGATAATGGGCAGATTAAAAATACCAGTGGAGGATTTTTCCGGGAAATTTCTCCGTGAAATTGTATGCTGGCCGGGATGAATGGACAATTAACGGAGAGAAGTTGACGGGATTAAAGGTTGTGCAAGTCACAGGGAAATCTCGTCGTGAATTTAAAAAAAAAATGACCTCTTTTACCACAATAGTTTCCGGGATACAGCTGGTTGAGCTTTATTGCACTTTTTTATATTTTCTGTTGCACTCTTCGAGGAGACAACTGCTTTCATCCGAGGTCTTGATGAGTCTTACAACTGTTTTATATTGCGATTTATCTTGCAATTAGAAGAGAAAAACCGGGAAAACATCAAATTGAAAAAACTTGACTCAGGGAATCCACAAAGGTAGAATTGTTACAATAATTAAGCGATTAAGTATTAATTAAATTTGAAATATGAGTGACGAGTAAGTTTTGGAAAAATGTCGAAAAGTTTTTCACGTGCGGCCGTAGAACGGATGAGTAATTTAATTTTTCCTCCAATCTTTAGAAAAATTACTGGTGCAACTGGAGTTATTACTAACTTCTCCGTGAGTTTGTGAGGTGGATGACGAGAATCACCTGCATTTCACTAGATTTATGTAGATATGAGATTATCCAGAGTTGCCTGACGCTCAGCCCCGGTAAGTCACCAGAATGGGCAACTTTACCAGTTGATCCAGTAGTTTTTACTACTCTGTACTCACCACCCGTCATTTTTACGGCACTCCCTTTACTGAACATCGAATTTTCCTCCACAAAAATATTCCTACACCATTCGCTTCGGGGATATCACAAAAATGAATCTCGGCACGTGAAAATTATCTCCATCTGTATCTCGGAAATTAATGTACCGAATAAATACCCACTCTTTTCCTTATTTCAGGTGAAATTCCTCCACCCTCTTGATGCCGCCACCTACAACCCCCAGAGGGGAATGACCCCCCAGGACACTTGAACAATTTCAACTTTAAAATTCATTCCAACACTCCGATTTCACCCGAATTTCCATTCGAAATCAATTTGATATTCCATTATATTAATGTCCAACAGTTCGGATAATTGATGGGTAATAAACGTTCACCCCTGTCCATGGCTTTTCAGAACTCGTTCGTTCATTCTTCCCCATCGAAGTTCCTGGGTTATTCCAAAAAAAAAACCTTTTACGTGCGAAAAAAAAATAACCGAGGAAAAAACTAATATGTAACAAAATAGCACATAGAGTAATAGAGGAAAATACCTGAAAATAGGAGAAAATATAAAAAATAAAAAGATATTCCAAATGTAACAATGATTCTCCGCCATCTCCGTGGATCGTGCCGAGAATAAAAATCCCCGCTTTGATATCTCACCGCAGATTTCCAGGTTTAGATAGAAATCTATGCCAATATATATTCAATGAATGTGTCCGTCAGTATATACACGTTATGCAGCTTTCCCCACGCTCTTTCTCCCATCTCTCTTTCCAGTCTCATACAGCCGACTAGTTTTTCGTTAGCTCGTCGTCCCGTGAAATCTGTCACATCCTCGTCTCTCTGCTCTCACGTTACCCGGACAGCAATATATCCCTCTACAGCCTCTCATCTCGATTCATCTATACCGGGTGTTATTTTCAACCCCCAGTAATCCCATCTACAATCACTCCAACAAACGTATCATCAATTAATCACCCCCACGGGAAACCGAGCCCGAGAATATTCGGCTCATTGCCCCAAATATCAATTATCCAACGGTAATGAAGTGCCACTGATGAAAAAAAAAATCATACCAATTGTACAGGCCGTACGAAAATTTTACCTGAAATAATCAACACCATTGGCTACCCGTTATTATACGTCCCCACAGTACATATATACTGGAGAATCGCCTCTCCTTTACCGAGGGTGTGAATAAGGAACCCCGTGCCCCCACACTTACCGATGACCCCCGTATAAATACAATAACCCGTATGCTAGTGTGAGACGATATGGAGAGGCATACTGTGATATTACCACCTGGGGCCAACCCTCCCCCAACCCCTCACGACGCTAGAGAGCCGATGTACCGCCGATATATACCGCTGAGAGAGCGCACCAGAGAGTGTACACGGTGTGTACTCGTGTACATACCCCAAGCCTATCGATCACGAGGCTCGTCCGCAGCACTGCCCCCTCTGGTGTAGCCCTCTCACCCCCTTTTCACCCCCTTTTCACCCCCTTTTCACCCCTTCTCACTCCTTCTCACACCATTTCACCCCTGTACACCATCCCCCTACCACTCCCTATCACCCCCTATCACCCACCACCTCTTTATCCTTTTTCACTCACTCTTTCTCGAGCACCTCCCAACCTCTCCCCTCGATCCTACACTCTCTTTTATTTAAAAACCCTCGTCGTAAGCATAACGCTTACCATAAGCATTTTGCAGTGATGCTTTTTTTTCAGCAGGAGGAAGTGGTGGGGAAACTCTTTTACTCATGCTCAACGGAAGAAGTGAATCAATGCATTGACCCTTTTTCACCCCTGGTTAGATGGCCGACACGGAACGTTGTGCACGTAAGAACATTATGTACACCTTGTCTGGGTATACGTGTATATCATATGATTGACACATAATGTCACATATCCGCGTACATATTTTTTTGCGTTTGTGTCGTCTGAGGCACTCTCTTTTCATTCCCTCTGGGTGATAAAAATGTTAATGCCTGTGGCATCCTCGGTTTTCAAGGGGAGAAAAACGATTGCGAGGACAGGGAGGTGGGGAGGGGGAGGAGAATGGGAAGCGGCTGCTGTAAAATCTGCGGTAGTAACAATCTGTGCTCGATGATAATATTCACTAAGTGTTTGTAATAGAGGGGAGAGAGAGATGAGAGGGATGAGAGGGATGAGAGGGATGAGAGGGATGAGAGGCCGTTATCCGTCATCCCCATGGAGGAAATGGAAGGATCCTTGGTACTCCATTGGTTCCAGGAGATACATTTAGCCTGACACATCCAGGTAAGATGAATCGTAACAGGTCAAAATGTACTCGGTGTGTTGTGTATATATGTATCTCGTTTGGGAATCTCATGGGGCAATATAGTTAACGCAGCCTCCGGGTATATTCCTTCCCTCATGAGAAACTCTGTGAGTGCTGTCTCACTCGGGGCTAGTCTCGCTGGAGATGGTTGAGTACGTGGTCTAGGTTTATAACACAGAGGGTCTTATCGCACCTGGCTCAACCAATGAAAGTAGAGACAGTGGAAAATAATTGTCAGTCTCTCTCTTCCTCTTTTCCACCTCCTGAAAGACCATCACCTAGGTGGCCATAGTCACAATGCAACACGGCTCCGAGTGCTCATGGAGTGCAGGAAGTTAAAGAGGAAGTTGGACGATAAGGTGCGTGTGGAGCGGGTCGATGAGAAAAGGGAGGGCTTGGTGTGGATTATTTAGTGAATGTATTCTCATTGGATTCATTTGCGCACAAACGAGGACACAAATGAGGACACAAACGAGACACTCTCCACCCAACATCCAACAAATGCATGTGTATTTAGTCTAAGTGAAAGAGTTTATGGAAGAGGGTTATGGCCCTTTTTCCTCTTTTCCCTGTACAGCGTGCAGAGGCAGCATGGATGATCGGTATGCGTGCCAGTAGGTCGACGTCCTCGAGCAGTGGTGCACGTAAGGCACGAGGTGAGACAGAGAGGTGAACAAAATGAAGAGAAAAGGCTAAGGAAAAAGTAGGGGAAAAAAAGGAGAAAATGAAAACAGAGTAGATGAGAGAAAATAAAGAGAATGAAGTCACATGGGCAAATCATTGAAGGCACTTGAGATATGGCGCGTACTCTCTCTCTCACTTCCGGTGGAGATATTCAAGTGCAATGGAGATATGACGTTACTTTTTCACAGCCTCTAGGCTGGTGGAATCGCCAAAGTGAGAATCGTGGACGACTTCTACATTTGCCTCCACCAATGGGGACTTATCCTCGCCACTTTCCAACTCGGCAATTTTTTTCAATAAGAGGACAACGTTACCTCAGTCGTGCGTAGATGATGCTCCTGTGAAGATTCAGTATTTTTACATGTGACTTTGTTGGGCTTTTATTCGTAGGGAGTCAATTTGTCATATTTTATCTTCCATGCACTTTTCTATTCAAAGTGGATGGTTTATCTCTCTGAGGAGAACCCATTGAATTCCCGCTGAATGATTGAATGAATGGGATATACAGATATTCACTATGAGCAAACGTACAACGAGTGCATTAAATTCCTGCGAGAGAATCAGACCAGAAAGATCGAGAAATCCTGGCATTCAGAGGCTAGTGTGGCAGGATACATCAGCCAATGGTGCATGTGGTAGTCGTGTGCATTTTCACGTGTATGATGGAATTCAAAGTGAAGACTTTGAAGTCACCAATCCCCGAGTCGCTCTGCGAAGGTTTGATATCATTTTCTTTGAATTTTTTTCTTTCTCCTCTTCTCCTCATCACATATCCATTATTCTTTGTCTATTGCTCTCCTCTTTCGTATCAGAGGTGAGAAATTCCCCCTGGAACAAAGTGCCATTACACATTCCCCAATGGTATATTAATAATAAAAAAAAAAATAAGTCGCGCCTTATATTTTATAACGGCAGGAAGGCATAAGCCGACAGGAGAGTACAGATCATTTGATCCACATATTTCACGCAATACGCGGGATTCATCATCTTTATTGAATATCTGGGAAATATTTGTAATACCCGTCTACATATTTCCAATTTCAAACACAAATATCGTTTCCGCAGACAATCAGTGGAACTCTTATCAGTTTTAGTGAGAACCGATCGAAATTTTTGTGTCAATAGAAATTTTCCATTGCCGGCACTTTCTATTTTCTCCGTAACACTGACACTATATTTTTTATTAAAAGAATCTCGATGTTTATTGTGGAATTATCCATAATCCGAATGATTCGTCACGTTACATTCACTCTCTCTTCTCTCATTATATTTGTTTATCGATTTTTAATGTAATTATTCACACAGCAATTTAGATTTTCAACGAAACCATTAAGTCTCCTCTGATATATCTGATTTAATAATAATAATATTCAATATATTAATAATATATTAATTCCCATCAGCAATCGCAATGTGGAGAAAGCAATTATGAAATTCCGCGCTCAATAAAGCACTCAATCGACAAATTTCCCCTGGATATAGCTCGATATATTAAAATGTTATCCAAATATAGTCGATATAAATTACCATCACACATGTTATGCATATCACGCCGAATAGTGCACCCCTCGCTGCTCACATCTGTATATTTTCAATGGAATAATGGAATAACCCGTGATTCAGTGAACGATCAGCCATTCAGCTGGTGCCATTCAATATCATCAGGTATTATATCTCCACGGGAACATTTCCGGAATGTTTTCGACATTTTGTGATGATCATCCCCGTGACAACACTGCGGAGGAATCAAGAAATCAAATTATATCATCGAGCGATATTCATCGCTGAATTAGGAGATTCTCAAAGGATTCATTTAATTATTAACTAATTTTCCAGCTCCTAGGCTGTTTTTAATATTCCGCGATGATTAATTGTCTCAATGGTTAAAATTGCTTATTCAGTATGCAAATGAATAACATGAATGAATCTCAAATAGTTGAAGAGGTGGTGGGAGGATGGAATAGAGGTACAGGTCACGGAGCTAAACCCGCGAATACAAATAATACAAAGCCATCCCATACACAATCCACGAACACCACACGAATGTATTTCAACTCGTGTGAATTTATCTCCAGCGCGAGTTTATAAACTTTATATGCCACACGGAGCGAATGGAATAGTTTTATACCCTCATCCCCAGCAATTTGCCATTGGAACGCAAATTTGACGAGCAATATTTTTGTCCTAACTCAAACCGCGGCAATTCAAGCACACAATCTTGACAATTGGAACAAAAGGCAAGTGGATGGGATTGAGAGAAGGAAGGATTTGCACCAGGGGTAATTGGATTTCGAGAATCTCCAGAATGTCGTGCATTTTCTATATCTCAGCTCCAGTAACAACCATTCAAATCTTCATCCTTTTCTTTAGCCACCTTGTCACCATAATCCGTCGTAACGATGGTGTTTTCCAGATTGTTGCGACTGTACGAGGGTAGACAGTACCGTGAAGCAGCAAATTTTCTTGGTAAATTGCCTCGTTACACACTGGCATCAACACTGCCAAATATACCAGTGGACCTCGTGATAGAGACATTGCCACGTAGTCTGGCCCTACTTGAGGCACTTTATCAACGCTTTGGGGAGATGGAGAATATTAACCAGAATGACCTGATGCGATTACTCAGAGTTGACCAAGTGCTTTGGAAAATTATCCACCTCATATCACAGAGCCCGGATAACCGGGGCCTCCGAATCTGGGCTAAATTGCTTCTGACTTTATCGCGAGTAAGTCCTAATGCACGTACACTTGTGGCAAATCGCAAGAAATCACTCGACCAAGCGATTGAGGGACTTGGTAAACATGGACCAATTCCCTGCTCAGTCAGGAGTGGAGAAAAACGTATTGGACACTCTGTGGAGACTCATTTGCTGCCATTGACATCTAAACTCAGGGAGGAACTTGAGCTGCGGATCGATGCATACAAACTTGCTTTGCACAAGATTGAAAACTTGGGGAAGGATGCGATAAGACGCTCAAAGGGTCTGTATTCCTTCTCTCTTGCATCTTTAAAAATTCCTTTCATGGACTATCCCAGTCCTCCCTGAATCCTCCCCTTCATTCGTCCCACGAATGAAATTTCACGAATTATTTCAGGCGATCCCCATGGACTTCGATCTGCCTCGCATCAGCGATTACTCTCCCTCAGGTACAGCGAAGTTCAGCAGCGACTCATTGACAATCAGAGCCTGTTGAATACCCTAGAGAAGGGAGTTGGACGTAATTTGGAGGAATTATCTAATGAATTGTCACGTAGAGTTGAGCAGGACAAAGAGGCGCTCCGTCAATGGACTTCACTTAGAAAGACTTCTGGTGAGAAATTCAGATGTGGTGATAGCAAGGAGCAGCCAGCTCTGGCATCGAGGCTCCTTCAATTCTCCAAAGCCTGTGGGTTGGCCTTGCAATTGATGAATGGTATGCCAGGCTCCACTGAATCGGTTAGTAGTCCTTGGTAATTGATTTTTTTAATCTCATTCTCCTGTTATTTTTGGGATAATTGATAAACTTCCCGGCTCCATTGATTGATTAATAGACATCCAGCTGGTGCGGTGAATTCTTCTCAACTGTAATTGAGGACGAGAGATACGATGTGACAGCGACTGAATCCAGCAGCGCTGGTTATCACACGGACGACAGTTGCAGTCCAACACCTGAACCCACTGTGGACTACCACAGGTGTTTAGAAAATGCATCGGATTATAGAGAGAATGATGCAACGAGAGTAGTCAAGCCAGGATTACTCGTATCAATTGGAAATTCACAATCATTTTTCATGATGACCGTCGAGGATTTAACTGATACTTACGTTTCACTCTATACTCGTGCACATTTACATACCCTGGACGCCTTGGATGCACTCGAGCCACTTAAGGACGCCACGGATCTAAAGTTTAAAATACTTTTTTCCGTACTTGTGGTAAGAATAATGAATACATCGTTCCATACTTTACTTAACGAGCTCAATTTTCTAAACTGTTATGGATTATGTTGGAGTGAAACTCACCGAATTAGGGAAACACGAACGTGAGAGAATATTATTTCCCTGGCAAATGAAACCATCGATGAAAAGCCATTTTTCAGCGGGAAAAAAATCCGTCAAGTCCAATTAAAACAATCCGCTAAAATTCAGGGTAAAGCTATTTCGGGGCACTTTCATATGCAGATTCTAATGGATTTTGAGTGAATACCGGTGGATTAATAATAGAATATTAATCTTCAACTTTCCAACTGGCCATTCATATCACTGAAAAACCAGGAAGTAGTTTTCATGCAATTGATCAAAATTATTTGAGCCATCCATTTTTACATAGCGAGACACGGCTCCATCATAAAAATGATATATATCCCGGTTCCTTTTTCCTGATATCGAGGAAAAAAATCGCTTCATTAATCCGATTAATGAGGTTTGTAATTAATGAACAGGGAAAGAGCGATGATAGAAATTGATTACAGTTGTCATGGCGTATAGCTGAGAGTATCCAGAGCGGACGTAAAAGGGAGGCATCGTACGTACTGTCAGGACCAGTTATCGACATCAATGATTCCCACAGCTGTCAATTATCTGATGACATAGAGTTATGCATGAGGCGACAATTGGCAACGACTGGATTTGCAAGTGGTACAAATGACGTTTGTTTACGCGTTATGTCACAACTATCGAGTACGCTGTACGATTATCCTTGCATCAGTAAATGCAAACAGTTGCGTAATTACTGTCTAGCTAGTTCACATCTAGCTTGGGCATGTTTAGCAAGGGATGAGCCTCTTGTACTGGATACGGGTGAGCAGAGGCAAAGATTCATGGATATCGAGTACAGGCGTGAAGTACACACTCGACATCCAGCATCACCAAATCCCGAGGGCAAGAGGATTGTTGGAGTCGTATGGCCGGGGCTCAGACAGACAAGTCTTCAGGGACCCTGCTTGTACAGGGCTGTTGTACTCACTGCCTAGAAACTTTTACCAACGAAACTTCCGTCTTCAATCCTCACATCTCTCTCTACACCCCCGACCCCATCTACCATCTTCTATATATTCTCCTTTTCCATTGTTACACGGTTAATGCTGTAGTTGAATGTAGGAGTTTGACTATTCTCCTTAAACTTATGGAACTGGAGATCAATCTTGCGGGGACCTTACCTTGCAGTCGTAAATACTTTCTTAATTAAAAATCAACATATTCTCCGCTTACGTGGGGGAAGAATTTTAATTAATCGAGATGTTCATTCAAATATTAATTATTATTACTATTTTTTAAAAGAGAAATAGATTGTAAAGTGAGTGAATATCCAATAAAATGGCCTCGAGAATATTTGAATGTTATTTTTTATATTAAAAAAATCAAAAGACAATTTTTCTCCGTTTCATAATGGCACCGTCATGTTTCGCGAAATTTATTTACTTATTATGATTGAATAGACCTAGAGCAGAAAGTAATAAATTTTTATCGAAAATGGAATAGATTTTCCAGTTGATTTCCCCGTAGTGCTAGTTCCGCGCAATAAATCCTAGCGGGTGATTAATCGAATATTGGTTTTTGTTACTGCAATTTGGAGCGAGCAGAGATAGTGCATCAGTTGAAATTGAAATGATTTTTGAAGCTCGATTGTATCGAAGGGGCCAACATCGCCCTCTCGCTGTGAATATCGAGACTAGTGGTGACAACACAAGCAACAGAGATGAATAACCTCTCAATAATATCATTACCACCGAGATTCGATTGATCGTAGCGAATTGTATTCTTCGAATCATTTCCTGAATGAAGTTTTCCACGAGTTTTGCATAAACTGACATTGGGAAATGGCAGGAGTTGTGCCATTGTCGGGAAAAACAGTGAGGAAACAGTGGTTTTCCCATGGTGAGTTAAACATTAATCCAGCATGACATCATAATAATTCCCTCATTTTCCCTCAACAAATTTTCCTCTATAATAGACGGACCTAGGGGATCCCTCAGAGGTCTGAGATCTCAACTCGCAGAAGCTGGATGTGCAGAGTCCCAAGTAGTCCTTGGAAAAGAATTACTGGAAGATACAAATGGTATGTAAAGCCCCAATAGTCAACCCTAAATCAATAGTCAACTGTTAAACCGAGACAGCTCAATTCCCCTGAGATTTTATTGTTGGCAAAATCCCTCAAATCTCTCAAAGAAATTTCCCCATCCATCACTTTCTCGTTGTAAACAGGAGAGTTTCTTACGACCCTGTAGAGTAGCATAAAACGTCAGGCAATGTTATCTAAAGAATCTGAATAAATGAACTATCGCATAAACTCAGAAGTGAAGTTGTAAACCACGATAACGTTATTTAACAGAGACTCCCCTTTTTCGGAATACATATTTCATAATTGAACTTATGAATGAGATTTTTATAGCTTCCATTACACTACAAAAGTTTCTTATGAGAATTTCAACATTTGAGATTGGAGAATTTAACCAAAACTCTTCTTCTATCAGCTGAGGGAATCTGTAATATACCCCATGGATATTAAAACTATTCAATTACTTAGGTAATTTTTTCAAATCCTCTTTCATATTCGTGAGCGTCCGAAGTATTCAGAAATTTTCAAACTGTGGAAACACCAGAAATGAAAAAACATTTTTTAATTGAAAATCATTAGGGAAAATACTGCCATTGCAAAAAACTCTATTCACCCCGCCTCTTTACCGCCGGTTTACCACTGAATTCTCACGGAATAATCTCTCTCCTCTGAAGAACGCGATGTGGACAAAGAAGAAAACGCCAAACTCGGTGTGTACTGGTTGACAAGGGCCTCGGAGCAAGGGAACATGGAGGCCACTGAAATCTTGAAAAAATGCCTGGAAACAGGACATGGTATAACCGAGCACAACTATTACGACGCTAAGAGTTGTCTGGAGATGCCACAGGATGAGAAATCGGCGAGACGTGCGGCACGCGAATTATTCTCAAGTCTCTCCAACGGGGAAGACTTTGTGACAATGGATCAACTCCGTCGACAATTAAGAACAATTCGAGATGGATCACGCCGAGACTCAGACGATGATTCGCTGCACTCATCCGAGGGTAATTCCGAGTGCAGTGGAGCTGACAGGGGAAGCTACAGATCCTTGGAGTATCCCGAGAGCTTTGATCATCAGGGTGAAAAGATCACTGAAGCAGCATTAGTGTCCGCAGCGACAAGTTACGCTCGTGGGCTTCTGCCAACAGTATCGAGAGCCCTCTGTATGGTCAACCAAAGGCGTTTGGAGCTCGAGAATTTCCCCCTGCTGCAAAGGCCCTTTGTCCATCCCCTGGAATCCCTCAAGTGGATGTGGGAATGGATCGTCGAGAGAATTGGAAGACGCGGTGGTACTTACACCAGATCCTTCCTCACTTCCAATATCCAAACCCTAATTCTCCTCATCGTTTACTCCCTCTTTGGCACTGAGAGCCTAGTCCTCTTCGTGCCAATGGTCATCTACTACCTCTCCTTCATCATCATGGTGGTGGCTACATTTCAGATGCTCCAGTGCAAACGAGAATTTCATGATTTTCGAAATTGGTCGGGCCTTTTTATCAGCTACTCGGGGGGAAATTTGAATGCTGATGAGGCCGAGTACCAGTTCTGCAGGAATAATCTCAAGCCATACGGCCACTTTTTTCTCGCTCTTCTGGTGAATCTCATGATCTACCCAGTGATCGCACACCAGTGGACACCACAATCCGAATTCACTGTCATAGCGGTTGTATTTACTCTAGCTACATTGTACAACTTCGGGTGGAAGGACTCGTCGAAGCTACCTGACTTTCTCGCCCTCATCAGCTTCGCTGTTCATGTTCTGGCGAAATATCCCTATGAAACGGATATCGTTGTCGCGCAGACCTGGAGATTCCTGGACATCAGGGTTCCCACGTTTGCATCGTACGTTGTTGGCAATGGGATTGAATTCTGCTTGAACTTCAGGGCTGTATTTTACCTTCTGATTCCTGGGGTCTTCGCCAAAATGGCAGGGAGGGACGGGTGGAAGGGCACTTACAAAACTCTCATTCCTCATTGCGTGACCCTCAGCTGGTGGCAGATTGCCATTTTGAGCTCCCAGGGGGCCACTTGGTATGGATTGATCAGGGGGGCATTGGCACTCGTTGGAATGGTCCTGTTTTTGCCGATAGCTGGACTTGCGTCTATTCTCCTACCCATCATCGCTGCTGCCAGGTACCTGTCCGATAGTGATGTTGCCATGAAGATTGGTATCACTGTGGTAATGGGCGGACTGCCATTCATCGCCTCTTGGTACTTGAGGAGAGTCCGGGGATCCAGGTTCAATTGGATTATCACTTATGTCCAGATTTTGGTGGGGGCACTCGCTGGGATTTTTCTCTGCTGGCCGGTTATCCTGGATTATAAGAACGGTGATGATGGAATTGTTAGAATTCCTGGGGTTTCCTCGTTGACCTGGGAGCAGTTCCAGAATCACTGCCACCAGCCTGCCTGGGAGGAGCTATCCTCCAAGGCTCAGGTTCAGATCCAGTGCGCACATCTCGAGGGAATTCCCGTGTTTTGGGAGGGATATGTTACTAATGTCAGGGTTAAGAGAATTGATAACAGCATCGCAGGAATTCTGAAGAGACTGCCTGAATCCATTGAGAGTAGCCTTGGCTGTGTCTTTGGGGAACCTGTTGATCAGACTGTTTGTCAGGCATTGGATTCTACTCGCAAAACTACCTGTGAGATGATCATGAAGATGCAGAGGGGAAAGTGTCAAGTGGTAAATTGGAATCGATACGAGTTTGAGATTTATGTTAATATGAAGAATGGACTCTGGGGGAGCAATACAGAGATCGTTCTGGTGGGGGATCACTCGTTCATGAACTTTAGTTTGAGTATTTATGCCGGGGATAAGATTCAATTTTCTGGGGTGCTATCGAATGAGGGGGGCGAGGGGGAGTCCCTGCTGGGGGGCACCAGACCGATGGTGCACCTCGATGAGATATCGTGCAGTGTTTGTCATAATATTCATTTAAAACCCAGCAAAAGACATAGAGAATCTATTATTTCTGTTGCAGTTGTTACCAAGACACTTGTTCTGGGGGTGAAGACTGTCTTGAATTTCTTATTGAATCCTTTAGTTGTGTTTAAGTGAAGAGAAATATTTGAGGGCTATTGGGTGAGCTCTAAAAATTACATTTTTCGGGTATTTTTGTATTGTGGAAATTCAATGAACTCGACTTGATTGGAAAACTGAAAGTAAATTAACTGGTGTGATGAATATTGACTGTCGTTAATGGAAATGGCGAAGTGCTATTCATTTAGGGCTCTTTTTAATGGCTTTTTTTTTCATGTTTTAGTATTATTTTTATGGTGATGTTAATGCATGAAAAATCAATGACGTTCTGAATGAATATTCATAACTATTCATTAGTGTATTGTGTAGAGATAGTAAAAATTGACAGTCTGTGTTAATTCAATTAATCAGTTCTTATGGAATGTTCTTGATCGATTCTAGTCAAGTGGAATTCGCCATTTTTACGTGTAAAAAATCCTGATTAATCTTTTCAATTTTTTATTGTACCGATCAGCCGTTTCACATTCTAGAAATGTGAAAATTGCACCTTCACGCTTGTGTAAAAATAGTGTTCTTCGAAAAGCAATTTTCGTGCAGGAATTGGCCCTTTCGATGTGAAATATGTGTAATCGTTTCGAGTTACCGCCCCTCTAATCACAATTAATTAATTATCCAGTACCTCATTACATCTCAATTCGAAAAATATTTTTCTTACTCGTGATAGAATTTTAAAGGGGACGGAAAAGCGATTAGAGGTGCTATCGATGTTTATGCAGCTGTCTGGATTGATAAATTGACACGAGTCGAGTGAAAAATTCATTCCAGAGTTGAATGTGCCTTGTAAGAATGGGAGACTTCAGTGAATAGAAATAGTATTATTTTTCCGGCTAGCAATCCCCAGTGAATTCTCAATCTTATAAACCATCTCGATGTGCCAATCTTAGATCTCACGATTGAGTCAGAGTCTAAGAAGTAGTCATATATTTTTCTCTTATTTTTAGGAAAAAAATTCAATGAAGAATGAACTGCAACTGATTGTAATTGTTCATTACAGCTTATTTCAAAGTCACATGACACTTGTAACCGGAGGATTATTTTTATATTTACGAAATATATTTTCATTTGGAGACACTGAGTTTTCCTTTATTACTGAACAATCATTTATTTGGCATTTCCGTTGACAAGACATCTGTACAGGTATTACGCATTATTTATATTATGTATAATAATAATATACACCGGTTGCTTAAATCGATTTACATATCTCTGGCTGTTATTAAATGTTTAGAAAGTGTATTGTTCCTGGGGTGGGCTTGGAGGAGAACTAAAATCCTCAAATCAGTCGGTGTCTCCTTTTTTTTATTCGATGGAGAAAATTGATTTTAATTTATTTACACTTTTACAAATATAAAATCGGTGTTTCTGATTCATCGATCTACAGTAGACTCCGTTATAGCCGCGCGCATGGGGCTGTAAAGGAAGGAAATTTGAATACGAGAGAAATTTAATTTTCAGCATTATTTTGCTCGGAATTCAATTTCACGCCGGACGAAGCAATGGATTGTTTACTTCTTGGAACCCGGAGGTATTGGACTTGGGGAACCGAAAGATACGCGAAAACAGAAATTGAGAAGAGGTACGACTGTAACGGTATTCTACTGTATCTGTTGACTGATATGAATTACTCGTAATTAATGTCCTTAAGTTTAAAAAAATCAGTAAATCGGAGGAAATTAATTACCAAACATTGGAGATTAATTTGCCTAATCTAATTCATGAGGATTAAAAAAATAAAATAGCGAGTTACAACTCGTGTGATGACGCGTATCACTGGCACCAGAGGACTATCAATTAAAACCTAATTACTTTCCTGAACTCTGAATTACCTGTAAAACCAGTGGTCACCGAAAAAATAAAAATCAAACTTTTAATTTCAGCTGGGTACTAAAAACGAATTTAAAACCCCCTGCAGTTACGTGCACTAATTAAACCTGCCTTTGTAACGCGTAGTCTTCATCATGTACTTGAATATTTTATGACACTTCAAATTAATTTAAAAATTCCAAGAGAGGGAATTACAAGACATCTGATGGTTAAATATTTTACACATTCATTGAGTCTATCTATAGTCGATTAGATGAGTCCGTGGATATTCTCTCCATACCTCGAAGAACAATAATTAAACCAATGAACAATTTTCGCACTCACTCATTTGCATCCAGACATTTTGTAAAAATTCCGTAATTATTGATTCGGTTTGCTGAAACATCGAGTGATTAGTAGAATCGCTTTCGGCTGTTTTCCTGGTGCTTCTGATAGAACATAACACCGATAACGACACAGGCGATCAGGGCAATAGCTGCCACCAGCATCAGGAGGAATATTTTTATGCCACTGAGTGAAGAGGGTTTCGGATCATCCACGTGATCCCTCGGGGACTCGAAGAACGTCGCTGATGGGATTATATTAGACCTGTCCTCTGTATCCTTTGGCTAGGGGAAAATTCAGACAAATACATTTATCGTGTCTTTCGTATTTGTATTCAAGGGTGAGACGCATGACAAATAGTGAACGGACGTGATGAGAAAATACCATGATATCCAAACAAAAATGCGCATACAATAAAATTTCCGAAAATTTAACGATTATTCAAGAGTATCAAAAGAGAAATGGAAGTGATCAATTAATAATTATTGTACCCACCTCATTCGGTAGATCCAACTCGAATAAACGAACAGAAAGAATGTCATGGTTATCAGAGAGATCTCCAGTGGTTGCTGTGATACCAAAGTGATAGCCAGTTGGCAACTTAATGCCACTGACCGTAAAGCACGGCTTCCAAGCAGCTTTATTATCAATATCCGTTGACACTGAAATCACGAAAATTGCCTGTCACGAAACCTGTACAGTCTCCAGAACAATAAACACGAATAACTCAAGCTTTGATGGTCTATGAAATAACAACGAGGTTGCCTCACAGCTGTTCTCCCAATTAATCAGCTGATTGAAACCCATTGAAAATTTTACGGTAACGAGGAGAGTTAACGACTCTCCTCAACCTCGAGGATTCTGAATAGAACCCATTTTCTTAAGGCAATAATTTTTTTAATGACATCCAAGTAACTTGGTTGTTAGTGGAGCCATAAGTTTTACCTATTTTCTTTTCTATTCAATTTTGAGATTAATTGAACTCATTTCTTACCAGTGAGGGTATCTCCTTCGTATCTCACAGCGATGTGCGTATCGTGCTCAAGATTCCGGAATTTCGATTCACATCCGGCTAATTGTGTATGCGTTCCATCTCTGTCGTGGTCGTAATGCAGGGAACCGTTGTTGACCATTGCAGAGATGAAAGGATGTTGATGCTACGAAGTAACCATGAATTCAAATCGTTAATCAATTCCATGTGAAATAAATATGAATAAGGGTTTTCTACGACAGTAATAATAATGCAAGACGTTCTGTTACAATTCACCGTATAATGGAACAATGATCGCAGTTTCTCCCACAATAAAAAAAAAACAGCCATAAAACAAAACAACATACATTGTGAGGACCGTTGTGATTGCTATATGTATCCAGGATGACAGCCAACCCATGGAAGAAATCCTTATTCCCAAAGACAGGCCCCGACTGCATTTTGTCCTTGGCATACCATATCGCAAACCCATCCCCGAATAGTTCTCGGCCCTTTCCATGAACCTTAAAGTGCAACTGCATCTCCCAGTTGCGTACGTTGCACGGCTGGAGAAAAAATATGAATTAAAACATGGAGTGATGTAATTAAAACTCATGATATCATACCACCGAGTTCCAGAGGGCTCCCTGCTGACTCTGGAGATCTGGAGTGATCCTGATATAATCATTCGTCACCATAGTACTCCCCATGAAGTCCCAGTACGGTATTGTCATGCCCATCCCTAAATTAAAGGAATATTCAACGCATCAACGAATCAATGGGAGAAAATCGTTTGAAAAAAAAAATCATGACTACCAGGAGAAGCCGTGTAGTTCATTCCATAATAATTCTAACCTCCAAACGACTGATAGCAATGGTGAGGGGTAAATGGAATGGAAATAAATTCGTTGTGAATGTCTAGAGGGTGAAACTCACCTTGATAAGGCCTGATGAGGGAGTGCTCCCTTTTCATAAAATCCTTGGTGTTCCATTCGGCAGATTCGGCTCCCACGGCCCCGAGAATACCCAGGATCACCACATACAAAGATGAAAAACGCATTCTTCTGTTTTATTCACAACTTTCACAGGCATATGAAAAAAAAAAATATGACGTCTCGACGTGGGAATTAGTCGTGGTTTTTGCCTCTGTCCCCTTCAGCACGCACGTCTCAGTCTTTAATTTAAATTTATTCCAAGAAAATTATCAAAATGCGACCACTTATCGGACAGAGTCACGAATGCAAATGTAAATCATTGAGGCATGCGCAGAAAGCCCGGGTAATAGTGATGATTTTTGTGGCCCAACCAGACAGTGCCACCGAGATGTCAAGAGACAACGAGAACTGACGGAAGTATCAAAAGCGGAAGTCCCGAGATTCTATTGATAAGTTATCGATTTGCCTGAGATGGGAATCCCTGAGTTATCGACCTTGGGTAGAGCGCTGATATATAAATTTAATTAATTAGGTTCAATATATTTTTAATTTTACTTTTCGATATGCTATCCATAATTTAATTATAGATAATTAACTTGCAATAGACATCGATTTTTCATTGAACAACAATTAGACGATAGTGGAAAATAGAAAAAAATTGATTCAACTGATTGAACACATTCTTTTGCATTTTTTTTTCTTGTATATTATATAACGAAGACCAGGTGTCATATTCGCAATATATTTGGCAGGGAATTGCGGCTGTCATACTCTCGGAGTCGACATCTGCGCGTGCGGCAATTTTGAATAAATCGATAGAGACTTGCGATTGCGTACCCTTGATAGTCCTGGAAACACACTCTCATCTTGGGATGTCTCCCATCCCCGGGGTGTTTCTTTCATCTCCCTTTAATTATTAGAAAACCCCTGACATCCCCGCGCGAACCAATCCCAGGGCAGGCCCTCTGTTCAACCGTACGACAAGGGTGCGTCATCCACCCTGAATTGGTCCCCAACAAATGTATATAAGCGGGTGCCCGAGGATTCAGTGTTAGTCCAGACAGATCCGGATTCCTTGTAAGATCGTGGTGTACATCCACAAATATCTTTCGCTTCCCAGGTAAAATTTTATATACCAATTATCACATGCACACATTCACTAATGAATCTGAGCATTAAAATTCCCTGAATGTGCATCCACGTGTCCAACACGTACACTGAGAAAAAAAAAAACAATATCTGGTGATTGAAATTATTAGATCGAGTTAGGAATTGGAGAGATCTTATCCTGACTTTGTTCTTATTTTTATCATTCGGCAGAAGTTATTCTTTTCCTCAATGTGGGATGCAAGTTCAGTTGTTCATAAATTTTTTATAACAACTACGAAGATGTTTTAATTGATAATGGTCATGGTACTGCCTCATGTAAAGAATATGGAACCCCTTCCATCTTATTTTTGAATGTGTCTGGGAGGTGCGCTTCTTGCGTCTCTGACATAATACTGACGAGAGGGAGAGGATTCCTCCCTTGAGGAATTCTTTTGAGTTGCATTTTCAGGATATTTTTTTAAAATCGTGTCACTGCCTAATTTGGCACGATTTAACCATGGTGTAGGCCTACTGGGGATCCCGCCATGTAAAATAAAGGGAACGCATCAAAGCACAGTACCTCCTGGGTGATGTGGAAATCTGTGCAAATCTGCAAATTTGTTTACCAATAATATTTACCTATTTCGCCTCAATTTTTACAATTTTATTTTCACCATTCGAGATTTTTGAAGGAGAAAAATTATAGAGCTTTTTAAAAACCCATTTACTTCCATCGAGAATTGAGTTCGATGTCTTTCCAGTCCCATGATGCGTTAATTTACCGATCCCTCAATTTTTTTCAGGCTCCATCGAATCCGATCTAATCTCATGTATCTCCTTCGTGACAAGAGAATAAAAAATGAATGCATTATTTGCATATATCCATACGTCAATTCCTTCCATCATAAAAATAACTCACACGAACTCATCTCCGTCCTCATCCACTCCTCTTCCTCCTCCGGACCCTCACATTTCCATTGAGGAGATGTACCAAATCCCCCAGCTTCATCCTTGCACATAACAGCCTGGAGAAAAGAATCCAGAAGAGATTAATCGGTCGAGTAGAAGACCACATCAATAACATCCACGGAAGATTATCAAATAACCACCGAAACCCCCGCCAGGACTGAAAAAATAAAGAATCAGGAGATATGTGTTGGCTTTTGAGATAAAAATGATGTTCACTGCACCACAGGACACATTAACTATATAATGAGATTTTTAGGACACGTGCGAAACGAGTGAAGATTAAAAAGTATTTTATTTTTTATTTTTTTTTATTTGTATTTCATGTAGAGCAGATAATAAAACCGTACGTACATCCGGACGTAAATGAAATACGTACATACGAGAGTGAAATTTTTTTACCCCAGCCCGAGGGACTGATCTAGAATTTTCGGGGGAGTGACTTTTTTCGAGAATCTAATTGTTTCATCAACCACCGGTTGATTTCATATATATTCCAACCCGATAATGGAGCCCTACAAAAAATAAACCACTGGACAAGTCCAGGAATATTGCACTGAAAGAGAAGTTATGGGTTCAATCCATAACAATTCGCACTCACGTCATCCCTGGCTGTCACAATCGTGGAAACGAGTGAATCCTCCTGCTGATTGGAATTCAAATTATCCCCAGCAATGGTATATGGATTAATCCCCCTCCGTGGTCACCCCCTGATTTGCTGTTCCGTTATTTTTCCCTGGAAGTCTCCTATCCCCTGCGGAATTATTGGAAAAATCAGGAGAACTATTGGCATTCAAATTACCTCAATTTTCCAATTTACGAGTGCAATACCATTCGGGGCATTTAATATCCCCATCGACTCTATTCCTTTAGTTATATTCTCAGATTGTAAAGACGAGGAGATTTTTTCCTTTCACCCTTCAACCAGAGGGTTGACCGTCCCGGTCTTCCCGATTTCCCGAGCCACCCCTTTAGTTCAGTCTCCAGGATTTCCAGTTGGCAAAATTCAACTCCAATGGATTCAATCGAGGATTTGAGGATTCGAGCGAGGGATCGTTGTAGATCATCTGTTGGAGAGTCTGTAAAAATTGGAGGGACATAGAGAAAAAAAGACAGATGGAAAAAAAGAATGCAAAAGAGGAAGGCGAGCGTGCCATGGCGTGCCGTTGGCTCCGTTGGGCAAAGAAGCCACCGACAGACGAGTGAAAAATGAAGGGGGATATATCCACCTCCTTCCAATGGGCACCCAAGTGGCCCCGGAGAACTTGCAGGCGAGCGAGGATAATTGCGAGAAGAAATCGAGCCGAATGCATCAGCGAGTTGTGGCATGCGTCGGGCAATGGCCATCAAGGTGCACTGAGGTATATGACCTAGTTCGTTTCATCCACATTTTTTTTTTCGCCCTCACTGTCCTTTTTTCATTATTTCCATTGACCCATTGTTTTTCCATTGAAATGCCAATCGGTGGGATTTTTTTTGGGGGCCGGATTATTTATTGATAACGAGATATATTCTGTCATCTAACTGTTTCAGGTCTAACGAGGAACCACTTTGGAAATTTAGGGGGACCACATGCAGGTGCAATCGGCAATTTTTATCTTTTTGAAAGTTTTTTATTCGGATCAATTGAATGGCGGAGATTCAGGTTGCTGCGTAATTTCTTTCGAACCTGAGGCTAAGGGCAATTCTCCTGTCTCCAATCTTCTGATTTCAGGGGCTGTTAATTAGGGGCTTCAGGGATATTTTGCTGGCATTCCTGTTAATGAATTGATCTGAACTGGTAGAAATAGTTTTGAAAAATGAAATACTGGAGGTAATGGAGTGAGTATCCATCACTCGTCAGTTGATCATTCATTTGGGAAAAATAGTTCCGATAATTGCATCGTGTGTTGATGATTAGAAAATCACAGGTTGTCATGATTAAATTTTCAGATCAGTCTGACTGATAGTTTCTTCACACGCCAACGTCTTCGAGGAGTTATTCACGAAATCTCTTTAGTATCTTCAGAAATTTCGGTGAACGTGATTTTTGATAGGGCAATAAAACACGCAAAAAAGTGCTCATAAGAATACCACAAAAAATAACATCTTAAATTCCGACATGAAGACATCAATTAAGCCTCTTTCATCCGCCTGTCAAGACCAAGTTGAGCTGGCGTGTTTAAAAAGTTGAGTAAGTGTCCAGACAAGAAGTTTAAAATATAATTTTTATTACTCCATTGGATTTAACACATCCAGAAAATCAAATCCCAAAGTTAAATTGCCTCGGATTGTCCTTCACCAACAATTTCTCTTGATTCTCCATTTCCCAAGTGTCAAAACCCGAGGCGTGATTGCCCAGTGAATCTTGAATACTAAACCAGTTACCGGAAGTGTCCGGTGGCCACCAGGAGGGGGTCCTCCAAGGCGGCATGTCACACACAGACTTCATTAATTTACGATCGGTGTGCGCAGGAATCGATGCAACGGTTCGGACTGTGGACTTGAATTACGAGACACTGTCGAGTCATCAATACCATAATAATCCCATGAAAATGGACAGCGCGATGAAAAAGAAAAATTAAATAAACCAGAAAACAGGGGGTGATAAAAAAAAATCTGTACTTTACGCCTGAACCCAGGTGAATGTCCTTTCTGGCAGTTTCTTCAACGGCCTTACAAAAACTTTCACTTGCACTCGGCATTGTTAAGCATTTCTTCTTGAGAAAAGAAAAACAGACGAGATAAGGATAGAGCGAGTGGGATAAAAAAAAGACTGAAAATTCACAGCACGTCGTCAGACTCCCTGCACTGTATTACGTGAGTGGAAACGATTTGCAAACTATCATATCGCTAATCGGGCTACGCGATACCCGCATGGTCTTCTCTCATTCTCAGTTTTATTTTATTCTCATTTTGTTTTCTCTCGACTTTGAAGACCACCACCACAACCTGCAATTACAGAGATTACTTTTTTAAATTACTCGGATGCACGCGAGACATTTTGACGATGGCATCTGGCCCCCTATCCCGCCACCTCTTTTTTTTAAATTCCCCGGGCCTTTCCATCATTTCGATTTATCTTTTTTATTTCATCCTCGAAATCCTCGACATCCTCGATTCTGTTCGAGAGGCAGCGATGGGGGTGAAGGAACTCTATGTGTCTCTGAACTCAAACTCAAACAAATCCCCAATTCTTTGCGTGACTGTTGAATGAAATAAAAGCAGGCAGTGAAAATAAAAAGATATAAAATTGAATTTATTTGTCTTGACAGACACATACATTGTGCACTTATTTCAACGGAGTGGCTTCTTTTCGCGGGGAGAGATATCCAGAACGGAACGAACGAATCGCATTCTTCATCCGGCACCGCTTACATTTAATTGGGCTTCCCCCCTCCTTCATACTGATAAATATTGCCGCCCGTCTGTTGCTCCTGACCTGAAAAAAAAGCCAACAAGGGGGATTCAATTAAATAGTTTTGAGCATTCGGTTTAACGTGAAGATGAGAAATATGTACCGAGGAGTTCATACCATGTGATTTCGGCCTTGGTCACTGCAATTATCCTCGAAATTGTTTTCTCCTGTAATGAGTGGTGTTGAATTGGGAAAGGTTTTTTTTTTTAAACTGTTGGGGACGAAAATTTATAAGGAGAAAAATAATCGTGAAGAAATTTGGGGAAAGTAAGATGATTGGGGAGCGAAACGCCATGTACGTTTGTACTGTTAGAGAAAATGGAATTTCTCGGATGGTTTCTAGGTAATTTTTTGGAAAGCCTATTCGAGGAAATCCCCTATTTTTAGGCGGTCAAGAATTTTTTATTGGGACATGAATATTCAGGAATGAGCATTGAATAATTATGTGTAATTGAAAATTCAAAAAAATCGTCACGTAACATTTTTTTTCCCTTCAATTAGTTCCCATGGGAGGAGTGAATCAATCAAGTTAAATCAATCAAATTGATGGATTTAAATTAAGAACAATAATTTATCAATAACAACACGTGTGTGGAGTTCATCTTCATAAATAATTCGTTGAATATTCAAATTTTTCCCCAAAATTCTCATGACTCGGTATAAAATTCGCCGAGGGTCTCCTCTACCTGGAGTATCCCATAATTTATGATGACTCCTCTCACGACGTAAGACCGGAAGTAATTTAGAATCCTCCGTAAACCAGAATTGACATTGGTTTTATTTTTAATTGACGATGACAAACATAACGAGTCGGCTTGAGTAATAAAAAAAGAAAGGAGGAAGGCGTTCTATTTTTTGAGTAAACGTTAACACACGTTTTACCTAAATTTCACCAACGGATAATTACGATGTAATGGAATGAGAGGCCGTCAGGAGAGGGTCAGCGGATGTGTGTTGACAAAACGTGAAGATTGTCAGGATTCAGACTGACTAAATCACGCATTCTTCATCAACTTCAAAGTTAAATAAAAAAACGCGTCATCATGGATATGAAATATAAAAATATCACAGAGACTGTAATGATAAAAAAAATGAATTAGAAAATTGACAACCGAAAGAAACAGGAAGAAATATTATTTACAAATTTATAGAAAATAGCCCATTAGATTTTATTGACCCACGTTTAGTGGATTAGTATGTGTCTCATTGTTTTATTGTTTTATCGTTTTATTGTCGTCTCTTAATGGTTTTTTCTTCTCTTCGGAGAAGTGGATTGGAGTTAAATCAGGCTTTGGGTTTATCAAACCAAAGAGGCAGTCGCACCATCAGGTCTGATGCTACAAACGCACAAGTGACCCACTTGGAGATCCATTCCAGTCGCACACGTTGCATTCAAGGAGGCGAGAAGCGAAATCCTCAAGTACACAACCCAGTCTCATCTTTCATTAATTTTTATATGATCGTTTTTTTTCTTTATGACGATACCAACTGAAATAACCGAGACTGTTGATTCCTATTGCATCTGCTCGATTATAGTAATCGTAGAAATTTATTGGTCTTCGTTTATTGGTGTTTGAGTTCTCTTGGGGTTTTTCATAATGTAACTGTTACTGAAGTGGATTTAATATTCACTTTATGGTAATTGAGGTCTTCAATTTTTCAAACTATCACACGAATTTTCACTGTTTCACTGTTTTTCACTGAGCATTATCGTTGGTCCATCAAGCCAGAAAATAAACTTAGCATAAATTGATCGTTGACGAGTATACGGAATATCAAGGGGATGGACTCTGTTGCGAGTCTTGTATCTCATTAATCTTTATGATTTTTTATCGTAATTCCCAATGGAATAATCAAGATGTGCTGGGGATTTTAATGCATTTCAATCGACCAGTCACTGGCCACTCGCATATTACATTCACTGGATTATACTCATTCCACAAATCCACTGAAATTTACTTCATCATTGCGCTGGGATGTGTCATGATGTGACGCCAAATTGGATTTAGCATTGCATTTTCTGGGGAGTTTATAATTTGTCTTTCCTTTTTATTCAACTGCCTGTCGGATGAAAATGCGAATTATTCTGATGGATCCATCAAGCGAGAAAATTCAATTTGCATAAATTGGTCGTTGACAGGAGGTGAAATGTCAATGGAGTAACAAGTCCCATCTCTCATTAACTTTCATTGAATTTTTTTTTTGTCATTTAGTCTAATGCACGTCAGTCGTGTATAAATAATTCTATAAATGTTAAATCGAATTTTTGGAAATGTCTTGTCAATTCTTGTCGAATGTGGGAGAGTCAACATTAAAACGTGAGTAATATCTGTCTATAATATAATAATATAATATTATCTGTTGCTTTAGTTCCTCGTAAAATAAATAAGCAACACTTATTGTTGTATTTTGTGTATGGATTTTCACTGTGAAGATTTTTTTTGAAATAGAAACTGATGCGTCTCACTCGATTGGTCACTGGCAATAAATTTCACACTGACTGGATGATAATAATTCTAGAAATATCTTAAAGCTTCTATTGACATCGCAATTATTCAATCCTGTGAATTAGGGGAAGAGTAAATAATAAGCTGTTTATGCAATTCCTCATTATCCGTTTACATTTTATAATTAGCGAATTAGCATAAATTGATCGTTCACGAGAAAATAAAAAACAAATTTTTATCATAAAATTTTGTTCGGAGTAATTACTATTGGTCATTAATTCGAAAATTATCAGCAGTTAATCAATAGTTGGGATTGGTATTTTCAAAATTGTCGGATTAAATTGATTTTTATACTCGACTGCAGATCGAAATGATGATTTATATCGGCAATTTGTGGTAATCGAAGTCTTGGCAAATACGACAATTGTTAGCATTTTTATGGCGTTGGCGTTCGACTCATAAAAAAGAAATTCCCATTTTGAATTTCCAAGTAAATAAAGTGTACGATAGGTTGGACTCGGATGGACCTTGTATCTAGCAAGTCTCATCTGTCATTGATTTTTATCTGTTCGTTATCTGTTCGTTTTTATTTCTTTGGATGAAAGCTGGGGAGGGGAATAGTCGAGCGACGCTCACGCTTTTAATGCATCTCAATCGACTAGTCACCGATCCGAATTACATTCACCAGATTATATTATCAATGCCGACGATTTATTGGAATTTAATTGATAGTTGAGTTAAATTGACGATTCGCATTGGATGGAGTTCAGGAAAAAACTGTTTAAGAAATTAATGTCCGTCATTGATGATAAATGATATTTTCTGCAGTCAACGAATCCATAAATTTAACTAGGTACTTAAATTTTCAAAATCGTGTGAACACTGATTATCGAATTTGTTTAAATGTTACTGGAAGTGGAGGATTTTTTAATGACTCATTGGATTTATTATCCTATTTTTCACAAACTAACGGATTCGGAGTTTGAATCTGTGAATTAAAATTCCGAAAATTCCCAGGTGAAAGTTCATATCCGTCAGACTGCTAGGAATTTATTGAAACTTCATAGAAATCAGCAATTATTTATTCAACTTCCAGGTTTTTGACTTTGAAGTCTGTGTGAAGACGCAGCAAAGAGCAGCAGTTTACGAGATAATTCAATAATTATTTTCGGAATTTAACACAAGTCATTGTGGGAAAATCGGACAGACAGTTAACGGTAATTAAACGGTTAATTGAATTCCCATTCTCAGTACATTCTCAATCGACTGGAAACTCATTGTCCATTTAAATTTCCCAAAAATTCCCCGGATTTTTTCCCATGAATGATCTGTCATAAAAAATGCGGTGAAATTTCCCATCAACGTAACAAAAACCAATGTACCTCAAACAAAGGTAAAGACCCATCTTCCCTCGGTGGAATCATTAAATTCCCACAGACTCATTAAATTCCCAACGAATAATGGAATCAATTAACTTACTAAATGAATCTTATAATCGAGTTTAATTTTACAATGGAATATTGCGACGGCTTTCACCAGCGTACGTGGAGTTGGCTGATGGATGTACGAAAGAAAGTCGGAAATCCGTTGCGCTTCAGACAACAAAAACACTAATCGATGTCAAACATCATCAGTACCAGCAATTAAATTCATTGTTCCTGTTCTATCCGTTAATTATGTGGATCAATTACTGAAATTTACATAGTTAATCCACGGAACGCTGTGTACTTTACGGTAAAAGTGGAAATGCTTGAGCAAATGAGTTGAGACAAGATGTCTCAGTGCGCTACTTGACAAATGACAATTACCCATAATGCCCGTGTAAAATCGACAAAAAGAGTCAACGTCTGTGAGCCATTTGTGTGACTTTCACCAAATTAGTGGAGGTTGTGAAGTATTCGCACACGAGAGAAGGACAAGCACCAGCTGTTGCGTACCATCGTATTAGATAGGGCTGCTTATGAATCTGCTTTCGCTTTCGAAATCATAACGCACCACCTCCAAGGCCTACACCTCAATTTATATAAATATATTCTTTACGTTACTTTATGCCACCATTTTTTACACATACCCCTGCCCCTTGATCACACTTACGTAAATATTTTATCGGCTAGAGTATCTCCGTGGGGAGGACTTCCTCGAGAGCCAACGACTTAAGGTCCCCCTTGAATTCCTCATTCCCAATTATCCACATAAAAGCTATTCCATGGGATTAGGAACAAGTGATACATATTTTACAAATTTATTTTTCACCATTACCGGTCATTTGACGCTTTTACACCTATATCCAACGGGACAAGCTAAATTGAGAGCGATATCACGCCGCCAATCTTATAACTCTGGGTTAATGGAGCGCGCTGGAAAAATCCCGTGTACATTATGTAGTACTTTTTTTATTTACCTTTTTTGGGACAAGTTGCAATCACTGGCCAAGTGGAATCTTCTGGTTTCGAAAGGGGGAGGTGGAGAGAATAATATCGAGGAGGCGCATTTCCATTGCGTCTGAAGTTGATGAACTTTGGGGCCAAGCACAAACAGGGTCATTAAACGAGTCTCTTCCTCCTCATCCTCCGTTCGGCGTCTTATCCATTTCTCCTTTTTTTTTTTCCTCGTCATTTATCCCTCTTCTCTCTCCACCTCTTCCTGGGAAATGTCGAGATTTATTTTCGATAACACGGAAATATCGCTGGAACGAGGTATTATCAATTTAACTCAAGTCACATTGTTCTTTATTCATGAACAACTCTCCGTCTTTAGGAGGGCAATGTATTCAAACGTGAACTTGGTTTTGACTTTGAAAGAGGAACAGTCGTTTCGACTCGATAGTCACCGAGATATTTCGAAAATTTAACGCGACAAGTTTTTCATCGCTTCTGGAGAACTACTGACCCAAAATCACTGGGCCTTTTTCAACTACTCCACGGAATATATATATCTTTTTCTCCTCCCAATGATCACCATCTGAAATAAATAATTGCCATTGAGAATTGCATTTACCGTACTTTCAAAGAAGAAAAAAAAAAAAGCTCACCAATAAAAATGCACAAATGATATTCGTTAAAAGTGATACCTTACCGTTAACCCATACCCTTTTATCGTATTTTCCCCAGTGACCTTGAATCAGAGGAATCCGCGATATATCGGAAAGGAAGACGATGGTAATGAAGAGGAAGAGAAGAAGCGAGTCAGCACTGAGAAGATGAAAAGAAAGGAGAAAAAGGAGAAAAAGAAGGAAAAGAAGGAAAAGAAGGGAAAGAAAAAAAAGGGGGAAAAAGGGAAAAAAAGGAAATAAGTTAGTGTCGAAAGACGGCGGAACAGCTCGACTGTGACGGGGCGCCGTGTGGTGGCTTTCGTCGATGTCTGCGACGGGGGCCCCCGCAGGCAACTGCTGGAGGAAGGAACGTAGAGTGGTAGAAGACAACTACAGCCGGGGAATACTCGTGCGTTCTTTGGTCAGTACCTTCAGTGGCGTTATGCCGATCGGAAAGAACGCACATCACATCCACCAACACCATCTCCACACATGACACCAGTCAAACATCACAACCCTCATCATCCCAATCAATCAATCAAACGTATCAATAATAATTAAACAACCAACAATTACTCATCATGTCAGAAACAATAATGACGCACTGGCGTGACTTGCCGTGCATCATCCCAGTTCATTGAAAAGTCAAATGCCAAATTATAAACAATTAGTGTCAATGTGCTGAGTAAACGTAATAACAGAGTGCAACCGGTGCATGCGATACAGTGAAATAATAAATAATTTATAAAAAAAAAAACGAAATTTTTCATTCCACTGGTAAATTGAGAGTAATAATAAAAATTGTTATGAATTTTTTCGATGGAATGAAACGATTGCGCTGAAGTGGACACCGAGACACGCATATGGGGTATGTCGTCAGTCATGTAATAATTAATAAATATTAAATTGATTTGCCTGGATGTTGGACCCCTTTGGAGGTGGTATCGGTGCGGCAAATATGTGTCACTTTTTACGACAGTCACTGGATTGCGGTGGCTGTTTGCGGTGGCCGTGGCCTCGAACCCCTCCTGATGAGAAAGATCCCAACCTCCTCCTACCTTCTTGTTCACGTTGTGTATTTCCCCCCCCGTCATCCACCCCACCATCCCCCCTCC